ACAACCAGGCCATGGTGTATGATACGACAGGCATGTTTACAATACGCATACCAACTTTTTAATAAAACAGTTCATAAGATTTGTAGTCAACTACCTAAATGGATTCACTTTTAATTAAAATAATTTAATATAATTTATATTTTGTCCTTGACTGTGTATATTATTAAAAGTGGATAATCCTGATTTTTGGAACTTAATAAATATTTAATTATTGTGCTCAACAGCCTTATCATTTTAAGGTGATGCTTGCTCTCAAATGTTGCGCAAACTCATCGTGCCTTATATAATCTGGCCTGATGAAATACTACAATATAATATTAAATAATAAGTATGTAATGTAAAAGATTGTTTCTATGTTTTTTGGGTGTTTTCAGTCGTTTTTTTTCACATACGTATAATATAGTTTAACTATCGATTTCTTTCTAGTAATCCACTATCAATTAATGTTTACTTAGAAGGCCTAAACATAAATATTTTGTTTGCCCTTCTTTTATTAAAATGATAGAAAGGAGCGTGTGGAGAAACTTTAGACAACTCTGTAAGGCATCTTGCAAAACAATATAAATCAATCCAGAAAGAAGCTAAAAAAAATAAAACTTTTCTTGTTTTGCCACCACTATTTTTTCAGTGAGTTAGGGGCGGGTGAGGAGGGAAACCAAACAATTTGTGTGTCCTAATCTTGTGTGCAATTGGAATTCTAAAACTTCAGCAAATTTAGAACTGTTTACTTATTTATTTTGAAATTATAACTGGGATAAACTACCTCGGTTTCACTTTCATGTTATCAAATTATCATATTTTTATATCGGTTTATATAAAATATATTCTAGGTAAAGTTCTTAGATATACAATTATAAGTCAAAACCGCTCACTTAATCAGATTGGCCTTATCATGTTTCAGAGCAACATGTTTCGTGGTAGGCCTATCGAAGTGATACTTTATTAAAAAAAATCAATCAATTTGTCTACCAAACCGTCTTTATATTGGTATTTTTTCAAGTATATTAGACGACCCGAAGAAAAAGTGTTCCAAAAGGTTTACAATTAGGTATTATGGGAAAAGTAAATATTTCTCCGTTTCCGGAATTTTTTTGTGTTAATAGAGTCTATTATTAAATCTTGCAATGGCCTGTCTATACTTGTCATTCTAGGCTAGCTAGGGCCAAGCCCTACTTACTTAATATTTAGGCATGAATGACTGGCATTGAATATGGTAGCCTATGAACTAATTTAATTAATCATTATTATTATTGTTGTTACTGCTGCTGCTGTTGTTATTAATTAAAATAATATCATTATATTATTATTATAATAATATTATTAAATTATTATTATAATAATATTATTAAATTATTATTATTATATTATGTTTATTGAAGTATTTTGTGTAAGCCATTTCGGCCCTTAATTTAATAATAATATAAAAAATGTACTTACAATAAATATTTCATTAAGATATCCGAGACACGGATGAAATATTTATAGTGAGTACATTTTACATCGTACGTTAAATTATTATTCAATTAACAGAAATGGCTTACATAAAATACTTCAATAACCATAATACAGTAAGTCGTATATGGCCTTAACAGCAGTGAATAGGTAGATGCAAGCAACAGATGCAACATATTAAATCGATTATTATTATTATTATTATTATTATTATTATTATTATTATTATTATTATTATTATTAATAATATTATTATTATTTTATTTTTATTAGTTATATATAAATTCATTATTATTACTTTTTATTGTTAAATTATTGTTATTAAAATATTATTATTGCTATTATTATTGTGCATGTTGTTAGGTATAGGCGCTGACGTTACTACAATAACTCAATTTACTAGAAGAATTCTTCTACAGTATTTGTTTATTTACATTTTTGTAAACTTTAGTCAAGATTTTTATCATAAAACTTAATGAAGATTAACAATCTTGCTTAACAATAATAGCAACATTGTAATACATTGTTTCATTGGATGAAACATTATAGTATAATTATAAAAATGATACTAAGACTATAATTGATAATAATATTAATGATTATAATATTTATTATAATACAGTAATAGCAATGATAATAATATATAAATATTACAATAATAATTATAATTATTGTTATTATTATTGTAATAATAAAAAGAGTGGTAATAGATGTAATTTTAGTATGCAAAAAGGGTATCTGTGCTGATTCGGCATATACGATAACAGTAATAATTATAGGAATACATATAATCATAGTTACCAACCGCCTCGCATCGTGCGGGACGGTCCCGCATTTCAAAGTGATTTCGGATGAAACACGCATTTTGCAGAAACACATGCAGAAACACACTTATTTCACTAAGGAGTTACTAATAATTGATCAGTAATGAAATGTTTGTGTGACTACATATTTCGGGTGTTTCAAATTAAACATTCAAACTCAAATTGGCTTTATTAATAATATTTTTGCTTATGTACCTGTATTATCAACAAACACCACTCCCTGAAATCGTTTTAAACGATTAGGTTTAGGTACGTCCCGGCACTAAGGGGAAACACAAGGGCCCGTATTCTCGAAAGTGGACTAAGTCGGCCTTCCACCTGATGAAGACACATTGCACCATTTGAACAAAGACAAACTACATCACATATTGCCAATGCCATTTTAAGTTGCTAGACTAGCATTCGTCCTCCATTTGTCATGGTTAAGAAATCTTGAGTTGTCCACCAGTGGGCCCTGCCACCCTTACTGCACCAGCTCACTAGTGACTATTGAGAACCAGCGATGAGAGTACAGTAGTACTTCTGTAAAAGTGATACAACAGACTCGGATAAGGAGTAGCAGCCTATTGTTTAATAAATAACTTACTTTGTTTAGCTGTTAATTCAGAAAATTAGTATTAGAATTAAAATATATAACAATTGTAACATTTTAACTTCGAAGATGAACTTGAACTCGAACATTTGACAGCGTGAGCTGAAAAGTAGCAGCATTCTTGGATTTTCATCAAACCTTTAAATTCAATCGGACCTCAAATAAGAATTCCTGAATATTAACAGTACACTACTACACTAGAATGTTATAACCAATGTAACAAGCTAAAAACTTCTATTCCATTAACCAGAAATGTTAACCTTTGACAAATGAGATGACCTCAACATAAATTTAGATTTGAAGGTCAATCAATGGGTCATCAAATGTGAATTTCAGAATATTAATAGTACAGTACACGGGAATTTTTTAACCAATGGAACTAAAAAAGCTTCTTTTTTATTTATTAATATTGACCTTTGACACATATGATGACCTCAGCAGCATTTTTAGATTTGAATGTCAAATCCAAATTTATCAGGCATTAAATATGAATTACTAGATATAAACAGTACAGTAAATTAGAATTTTATAAAGCAACGAAACAAATAACTTTATTTTTATTCAACCACAAATGTTGACCTTTGACCTCTGAGATGACCCCTGTATAAATAATTGTAGTTATATTGTCTGTGAGTCAATTCAGCATGATCTGAGCTTTCATTAAGCCTTTTATAGAGGCACTATGATGATTTTACCCAAAAAATGAAGATTTTGAAGAGAGATTAGCGGCCATCTTGGATTTTAAGGTCAAAAGTAGGTCGAATCATCGATCCGATATCAAAAATGAAATTCTGGACCCCTAAAACCCCTAAATCCATGCACTAAAGCAGCCATGTAGGCCAAAACACTGAAATAATAAATTTCAAAATGGCGGAAGGCGGCAATTTTGGATTTAGGGCTCTTACAGTTTATGCCCACACTTTCGCGAGGGACACCCAAGCTATTTTTGTTATTATACCCTCAAGGAAGACAAATTCATTAAAAAACTAAGTTAGCCTCTCCACGGTCACGGAATTGCCAGAAATGACCCAACTTACAAGTCTTTTATTTATTATGCTAAGCAAATACAGGCCTATTTTCTACATTCGATCTATGTCAGACATATAATGGCATTATAATTTCAGGCATAACCATAGTTAATAGAAATTCTACTTATCTTTGTATTGTAGTTTAATAAAATTTGCTTGAATAGCCCGCGCCTTGGCCTAGCGCTAAGTAAATAAAACGTGCCAAGTGTGTGTATCGATCATGCACAGTTGAGCAAAGCAAAATTCACATTGCCGTTTTCTGCACAACGCCGATTGCCAAATTTCACGTCGAAAAGTTGAAGACAACGACAAATCGAAATCAGGCATGCGCAGTTGTGTCCACGCGTCATTAGGTCGTCGTAGAACTGGCCGCGTCTTCTTTCGTAAGCTCACTATTATTAGGCTAGCCGCATGTACATTCCTACTGTAGGCTGTAACAGTAGGCCTAGTACTCAGTACTACTGTACCCTACCCTCTGCCTAGGCAATGCTATTGTATTTTTTTAATTTTTAAAAACACGACGAATACAAATTAATCATTTTACATTACAACATTATGTTAGAGAGTAAAGTTATTGAGTGTTATTTATACGACCGAAAATTCGAGGGAGGGAGACCCAGATTCTTTCGAAAAACATGGTACAGGCCTAGCTAGGCCCTATGCGAAGGTCAGCCCGGCCTAGGCCTGTACTCGCGAAATTTGTGAAAGGAAAACAAACCTAGGCCTACCCTGCACTGGACCTCTCTCTCTTTTCGTAGGCTGTAGATCTTCGTTTACTGTCCTGGTTGCCCATCAACTGCGAAAAGGTTTTTTAAAGTGTTGGGATTACTCCATCTTTTTTGTTTTTGCGGCCAGACAACCCAATGCTTGTTGTTACGTCGGGCGTATTTTACTGACTCGATGATATTCGACAACAACACCGTTTGCCTTTTATTTTTTTTTTAACTGTCATCAAGATCATCAAGACGTAAAATTACTGTGAATAAAGTAAAAACAATGATTAAACAATTAAATTAGCAATAAGAAACACATTGCACCTCGACAATACCTACGGTATCAGCCTATCCTATGACTTCATAAATATTCATTTGTGCAACCGTGACGAGTCACTGGCGACGGTCTATCAATAAATGTTAACACGCGATGTATTACATAGGCTTATTGCTTATTTTTAAACCGTCACTACATTACTAAATCTACAATTGCTTAGACTTATGATTATAGCTGTTAATAGTCAAACGGTGCACTGTAAAAAATGCTGGGAAAATTGACAGAGTAAAATGAGATCATCCTTTTATTGGTAAATTTTCACCCGATATGTGGATAAAAATAGTAGTTGGGCAAATAATCAATGTGACCAACATTGGCACAAATGCTTGTCTTATACGTTGGGAGAAATATACCCATTTAATGGTTATTACCTCAAGTTGACCATCGGTTGGGTTATGAATCATATGCAATCGTCCAAGAATTGGGTAAAAATTATGCATGCACAGCAATAGCTCAAAAAGTGGGTAGAGTTTGGACCACATGACAGAAAACTTCCAACCAACTGGCAAGGTATCACACATAGACACGGCGCGCCGATCGGAACCAGCTTTGGACGCTTTGCTCGAAGAATGGGGCCTTGAATCATTAAAAGAAACGTTTAATGGTAAGAACTAAAGTTTATAATTATATCTTTCCCAAGCAATTAACCTTTTTTAGTATTCTTATTTGAGTATTTGTCTAATGTGCCCTCCAGTATACCTCCCTTATCTACGGCTGGCATAGGCCGGATGCACATGTGAGGCAGGTGGGCCATAGGACTATTTCTCCTCACAGGCCCCAAGGTGGGGCCTGTCTAGGCCAAGCACCCTGGCCTATGTTTTATGTCAAAGTAGGGCTATGATATTATAAATAAGAGAAAAAAGGCTTCAAAATATTCCATTATCCACATTTAATACCGGTAGTTTACAATATGATGCTTCAAACAAAAATGTGAGGTCTCGCCACAAAATGAGTCTCATGGTTGAAAATTGAAAAATTGAGTTTCAGTAAGGTGAATAAAGTTGTTTAGAGAGTTTATAGTAGCAAGAAATGCTGTGGAATGATCAAAGAGGAGGGATAACAATGATATTGGCTGTTATTAGTGTTTTCAAAATTGTAGTATTTGAAGAAAATTATGCAGCAATGTTTTATTTTCCTGCAGCAAATGATCCTAAGCAGTCACTGGCAGTTGAAAGTGTTGAAGTTACAGACGATATTAATATGAAGGTACAATGGTTGAACGATAACTTAGAACCAAAAAAGCAGGTACAGCAGTTCATGGCGACCACTTTTAACTACTGAATAGAATGGATACAGGATAAACAGCGATCCGTTTCAGATATACTAAAAGATTTCCCAAGACTTCTGGATAACGATATGGTAAGGAAGATTTCGCTCTTTAAATAACCTCAGTGCTATCGGAGTGTATTTATTACATCAACTAGATTTTTAATTTAGATTCTAAATTGATTTATAGAAAAAATGTATGCCTTGGATTCATTTTTTTTTTCTAAAAGATTTTAGTATGATCAGTATCAAAGATACTACAGTATAACAAAATTCATGGCATGTTTTAACACACTAGCTACTGTACCTACAACAATTGGTATTATGAAAAAGCCTCTCCAATGCAAAGGGCGATGAGGAGTCATTGTCCGATCCAATATTTCTTTTTAACATTGAATAATAGGCTTAAATTGGAAGAGTGTTAGAATAGAAGGTAGAAAATATTTAATTTTAAGTGGTAAATTTGGAAGAAGTTTGTGTTACCACAATAAGTATGATAGGCCTAATAATATGAAATTACATCATTTTGATTCTCCTACATTTTCACATCCATAGATTGACCAGGACTTTAGATCTTCATATCCTGAAGCTGCTGATCGAATGTATGAGAAATGGAATGCCATGGTTGATCCGATTTGTGAGTATGGAATCAGGATGTGCCCACTTTGGAAGGAAATGCTTGACTTTTCAAGATAGCACAGACTTAGTGTCTTTGACTACAGGTAAATAAAATCTGACATTTTATTGAAAGGACATTCTAAACATGGCTATGATTCATGATTACATTGCTTTGTTTTGAGACTTGTTATTATGCAGAAAATTATTTTATTTATTTATATTTTTCAACTCATTTCATTACAACAGGTTAGAAATTATCCTTAATTTAAAGTCAAATATGCCAAAGCATGTTCTTTAAGTAGCAAAATGTGTTGTAAAAAAATGTGTCACTAGTTTTGGCATTGCTTGTCTTGTTGTTATCATGGTCTTTGTGTTTAAATGCATTTCTAAACTTTAAAATATGTCAGCAAATGAAATTTTGCATTTTGGATGTAAAAAACCCCAAAATGTTAAGAATAACAAAAAAAAAAAAAACCCCAAAATTTTAAGAATAACAAAAAAAAAAAAAAAAAAATGATGTGGGCTCAAAAAATGGTGAGGGAGGAGATGGGAAACAAGGAATTTTTGTTATTTGGCCCAAGAATCGTTGTACTTGGCAAAATGTAAATTTGTGTTTTCCTGTTTTTATTTCCAGCAAATAATTAATGTTCAAGCGTACGTGGATAGCATAAATCCAGAAACCCACAGACAACCATTCATATTGGCACTTGGTGACAAAGTACATCCATCGGACCAGTTCATAATAATCGAAAATAAGGTCATTCAGCAGCCATCTCTTTTTAAAGTGGTGGATGTGCGTTATAAATTGCACTATGTACCGTATTAGATTGTAAATACCAGGAAAAATGCAGATGGGTATGGAAGTTCTTCGAAAGTTGTGTCTTCAGCCAATCGAAGGAGAAATGAGAGAGTGCATCATTGAGAGCCATGAGAGCATATTTAAAGTTTAGAAATGTTAGAAAATTATAATGTGCCAAATAAAATAACCTCAGAAAAACGTGAAATATACAGTAAAGTGAGCAGTGCTTTAGAATAGGCTATCAGAAGTTTGGTTGTTCATTAGGCCTATGTAGAATCTCTCATTTAAAAAAATCTCAATAAAAAGTTGGAGAAATAATTCTATAAAAGTGTCTTCTAATATTATTAATGTCGAAATGCCTAAAACATCCATCAACATGTACATGCATTTTCACCAATAAATTGGCAAAGGCAACCATTAAAAGACAACTGATTAACCAATAGATGGTAATGAACAGCACCCAGATGTTGAGCAACTGATGCTACCCAAACCTTGGAAAAAGACAATTAACCAATAGATGGCAATGCACAGTACCCATGTGTTGGGCAAATTAAATGACAAGATGTTAGTAAAGGACAGTTGCCCAACTGTTTTGTAAACATATTTACAAAATAGGGTTGGGCATATATTGCCCAATAGATGTTGAAGCTGACTATTGTACCAGCGTTGGGTAAAATGTTGGGCAATTTTTTGCCCAACGTTTTTACAGTGTGGTCTTCTATAATTATGACTGTACACAGCCGCAATAATATTATAAACAGGAACAACATATATAAAGATAAAATACGTAAAAGCTACATGCATAAGTTAGACTGACTCTTGCCTACTCATGTTGCAGCCTATTGTTTAGCACAAAGCTACGATGATGGAATGCTTCTCATTCCAAATCACTAATATACTGTACTGTCCATGTCTACAGTATAATTATATATTCCACAACAAATCATGTACATACCAGTCCCACAACAACTAAATTAAGGCATAGTAAAACAGTGTTTTCGACTTCCTAACTTCAAATGGACGCTCTCTATGCACTACTAGACTTTTTAAAAATTACGAACAAGGTTTCACTCTGGTACTCTTTGGTCTTTAATCTGTCTTCCCAAAGATCCTTACCATAACAGTAAAATATAAAACAAGTTAATTACACAACTGCAACTATAACTGATTTTCTCTAAAACATTATCATGGTTTTTCCAATGCAACTCAAAATTAATTAACCGTAACAGAATTTTCATTATCAAAGTAATTATAGCATAGTCACTATATCTTTAATATCGTATTATTAATACAACAGAATATATTCCTATTATTAAGAACACAATTATTGTATAGTACCTCAATTGCTCTCCAAAAATAATCAGCAGTGCAATGTCTTCAAGATTTATAATCATCTGATATCCTAAAAATAATAATGATTGATAATATAATAATCATTGGTAATTATCTACAATCAGATATGTTTGAGGTCTAAATATAAGTATTTGTATCCCAAAACAAATGAATAATATCCATAAAAACATCAATACACAAGTACAGCCCTTCGATTCCTGGCTTTTTCCAAATATGGAATGAGTTAAGTAAGTCATGAATATTCATGAGCTCAAGCAACTACGAGCGTGCAGCCTTCTCTAGCAAAGCAGTATCTACTCATATTTTCTGAGATAAAACTATGATTAAACTAACACATTATACACTGTATTTATCTGTATACAGTAACATTAAACTGCTCATAAAGGTCTATAATTTTACTGGACCTTTGACCAACGTCGTCATACCAGTTTGCCTTAACAATCTTGCAATAAATTCAAAGTAATATCAATGAATCTCTGTTATAAACTTTCTCTAGGCCTAGGCTATAACATGGCCACCTACGGCATCAAAAGTGCTTCCTAATACGGTCATAAACAAATGAACAATAGTTTGTTAAACAAAACCATTGCAATAGTAATTAACTATAACTCACTCAAAATCATTAAATCAAACTTGGTAATTCCCATCTGGCGTCAAATCCACAATATCGTTAATTTAACTGACGAAAATGATCAATAGCTCGTCGTTAGGGAAACCATAAAAAAAACCCACTACGCCGAGAGAGGGCGCAATTCAAAAGTTTATACCCAGGTATAAACCGCACTTTTCCGTACGAAACATTTACATGAAACTCTACTCGGGCCGTTTCGACTGAATCGACTCGGGCCGAAAATCTCATATTGCAGAATTCAGGAGGTCAAAAGGTCATCAACAGATAAACGACTACAAAATGCAAAACAACTTCCGAGAGAACGCGCTGTCTGATTTTTTAAAAATACATTGACGTTACCATGCTAATACTAATGGGTCGTTTAAAATGACATAATATTTGATTGAGCTGCACGAGTAATGGAAAGTGTTATTTGAACTTGAGTTACATACTGTGACAATTTTTTTTTTTTTAGTTAGATCTAGGTTTTGCATTACCTAGGCCTACTAACTACTAAAAATATACGCTTTCAGGGGCAAAGAGGAAGGAATAGCGCGTTTCTTTATCAAATGAAACAGGGTGACAGTTATTTTCAAATTAAGAGAAGAGCTGAGAATAGGCAGCTCTAACATCTAACATACTGGATGCCAAAGACATGGCAGAGCACCAATGAATGTATAAATGAGGCCTAAGCCTAGTTATGGTAAGTATCTTCAGGTTCTTGATTAAGGCTAGACCAAGTTAATTAATGCCGAATTGATTATTATTTATTATTATTATTCATTATTATTGTTCATTATTATGTTATTAAAACCTACCTTAGGAACTTAGACAATGGAGAAACACATCGTATAACAACATCGTCGACTTTAGTATTTCGTTTGTCTACATTCCATTTACGTCGAGGCACCAACAATGGAAAGACGTCTCTCGACCATCGCTTCCAAAACGTGTCAACTATCTGCTGTACAAATTCAAGTCGGTCTCTTGGGTTCTTGCTTGGACGGAATGGTCCTTGCGGTACTCTACTGGATGCACGTCCTAACAGAATGTCATTGGGACAGATGTATTTACCGTCATCTGGATCATTGGGTATACGCCTAATCGGTCGTTCATTTACAAGGTTAGCTATCTCCTGGAAACAGGTATGAAGTTCAAATGGTGTTAATTTCTGCTCACCTTTCTTCAGCGCTAACTTACAGCTTTTCACCAACGCTTCTGCACATCCATTCTAAAGAGGAGCAAGCGGTGTGATAAATTTCCACGTAACTTCCTGTTCGGCACAAAACTCTGTTAGTTCCCTCTTAGTCCAACCTCGAATCATTTCTCTCAGCTGCCTTTCAGCACCAATAAACTGTGTACCGTTGTCGCTTTGTATCATCTTCGGCTTCCCTCTGATTGCGAAGAAACGTCTAAGCACTTGCATAAACTCCATCGTTGAACAATCAGTGGCGACTTCTAGGTGTACTGCTCGGGTATTCAGGCATATAAATATAACACCGTAATGTTTTGCTGTCTTACTTCTTCCTATTTTGACATTATATGGGCCAAAGTAGTCACATGCAGTGTAATAAAATGGTGTTGTAAACGGAGCCATCCTTTCTGCATGTAGTTCCGCCATCAATTGTGTTTCAACACGGTGATTAAACTTTCTGCATTTCACACATCGGAATTTCACTGTCTTAGCAAGGCTGGTAACTCCTACTATCCAATATTTGCTTCGAACCTTTGCAGCAGTTGCAGCAATTCCATAATGTCCTCGTTCATGCACATCTCTAGTTATCAAGTATGAGATGTGGTCATCTCTAGGTAGTAGCACAGGATGTCGTTGTTCATATGATAATGTTCCATTATCAGCTCTTCCACCCACATGTATCAGATTATCTTTCACAAAGGGACTTAATGATTTAAATTCACCCCTTTGAACTTTACCATGGATATGTTTTTGAGCTTCGAAGATCCAATAGTCTTCAGCAATGGATAACTCATTGGTTGACAGTGATCCATCTTCTACTCTGCACTTAGCTTTCATATTAGAAATAAATCTAAACACGTACGCTGTAACTCGTATCAGCTTTCTCCAACTAGAATATTTCTTACAGTCGATGGCCTTCTTGTCTTCTGCATTAACTATCAAAATGGTTTTCTACTTCTTCTTTTTTTTGTCAAGTTCTTTGACATCTGCCTTCGGAATAGATTTCGGCCATTGTTCGTCTGGAAGCTTCAGAAAAGCAGGTCCATTCTTCCAGTCATGTTCCAAATCTTTGACTTTAATCCCTCTGGACGCTTGGTCGGCAATGTTATGTTCTCCAGGTATATGACGCCAGTCTGCCGGATCGGTTTGGTTCTGAATTTCAGCAACTCTGTTAGCAACAAATGACCTGTAGAGTCTAGACTGACCACGTATCCATGAGAAAGCGATGATACTGTCCGAAAAGAATATAACTCTATCAAATTTCAGAGACATCTCTTCCTTAAGCGTAGCATACAGTCTCGATGCCATAACAGCGGCTTGTAACTCTAAACGAGGCATAGATAGGTGTTTTACTGGAGCTACTCGGGACTTGGCTGAAATGAATCTTACTCCAACATCACCATTAAAGTCTTCCCATCTCGTGTATGCTACTGTGCCGAATGCATCTTCTGAGGCGTCACAGAAAATAATCAGTTCAGCTGCTTTACTTGAATGGACTGGTAATAAACATCTCGGGAATGAAGTACCATCTAATTCTTGCAGTTCTTTGAAAAACTTTCTCCATTCAGCTTTCTCAACTTCAGCTAAATCATCATCCCAACCATACCCTCGTTGCTATAGTTTTTGCATCATAATCTTTCCATTTATGAGAAACGCAGTTGCAAATCCAATCGGATCAAAGACCTTGGCAATTTCACTGAGTACCATTCTATGACTTCTCGTGGAATTTGGCTGGTTTGACTTTATACAATATTAGGTCACTGTTAGGATTCCAAACTACACCTAACACTTTCTGTTCAGATGAATCAGTCACAGGTTCGTTGTCGGGTTGCTGGTTAATGTCTGGATTGGTAGGTTTTCCATTCGATACCCATTCTTTTACCTTAAACCCTCCACTTGCTAGAACAGTGTATATTTCTTTGGTTAAACTCTCGGCTGTGTTCACATCTGGTACAGAAGTCAGTATGTCATCCATGTAGCTGTCGTTTTCAATAATTTTAGCGGCTGCCGGGTAGGTTTCTTCATTCACCTTGGCCGTTTTTCGTAATGCAACTTGAGCCATCGCTGGGGCAGGCTTGTCACCGAACGTTACATTGGTTTTCACATAGATGTCTGGTTTCTTGCGTTGGTCAAAGTCACGCCACAAGAATCTGTGAACATGCTGATCTGTTTCAGGAATCGCTATACGATGATACATTTTGGAAATGTCGGCAGCTAATGCAATCTTCTGTTGTCTAAACCGCAGTAACACTCCAAATAGACTGTTCAGAAGGTCAGGTCCTTTCTCCCAAAACTCATTAAGGGACTGGCCATGGAATTTAGCGGATGAATTAAAGACAATCCTTACCGGTGTTGATTTTTTCTCTGGTCGGATAACTGCGTGGTGTGGTATATAGCATACAGGTCCCTTATACTTGGCAATTTCTTCATCTGTCAGTTTTCTGGAGAATCCAAGTTTTTCCATTTCTTCCATCTGTTGTTGGTATCCTTTCACATGATCTGGATTCTTCATGAGTTGTTTCTCAGTAGAGGCTAACATTCTCTCAGCAAGCACTTTGTTGTCAATAAGCTCAGTTGGGTTTCGTCTCCACGGATACGGTATCTGCCATTTGTCTTTGATTTATTCGTACGACTCCCACATGTCATCAAATTGTACTCGTTCAGCAGGAGTCAACTTCAAATCATCTTTTGGTGTGCAAGTACAGTTTGGTATTTTGACACCCATTTCTTCTGTGGTCCAGAATTGTGTGAGGTCTGTTTTCTGTGTGACATTTACATGAAGTACTGTCAGGCCTGGTTGTTTCTCTTGACTGTTAGATCCAAACGCAACCCAGCCCAAGGGCGACTTCCTTAATAGGTAACCATCTACTTGTTGTGTTTAACCGATATGCATGAACGGGTAATCCACGCCTATTAACATATCTACAGCACCATCTCCTCTGCTCAGTGGACAACATAACACACGTTCCAATTTCTTTACCACTCCTTTATTGGCTTTCTGAACATTAGCTGTCTCTGGAACAACAATAGCCGAGACTATGTGTTCTTGCTGGTTGGTAGATGTAATAGATATCTTATAAATATTGTTCTGATGGGCCTGTACCTCACCTCCTAGCGTTCCAATGTCAATGCTGATCGGCTTGCTTGGTAAGTTCAGTTCGTCTGCAACTGCTTGTCGGATTAGAGTTACGTTTGCTCCGGAATCCAGCATCACATTACCATTCACATGTTTATTACTAGAGCCTATCTTCACGGTTATGATGGGTAATGCAACATCATTAGCATCGGCAGCAACAGTTGCAATTTTACTGGGTTGGTGAAGAAGTGCATGATGGTACAACTTACAATTATCTTTGCCACATTTCTTTCTTCGGTTGCAGGTCTTCATGTTGTGCTCTCTTCCGGCTCTTTTCATGCAACTGAAACAGGCATGCATTTCTTTTGCCTTCTTGAGTCTAGCAGCTACATTGAGACTCTCAATCACCGCACATTGATCTGGCCAGTGGTCATTGGAATCGCAACCCCAGCACCTATTCCATTTAGAAGACTTCTTTTGATTGGTCTGGTTACTTGATTGTTGCTGTCCAATATGCCTTTTTGCCAGTGGTTGCGTTGAACTGCTCTTGACTGGTGCAGTGGCTCTCATTCTGGTTCTCATTTCACTTTCAAGAAAACTTAAAAGTCCCAGTAATGATGCTTCTTCATTTTTCTCATTTAGACTTCTCGAATATACCTTTCGGTCATCTGTAGTCAATTTCATCTCTATAATGGATAACATATGGTTGTTGTTCATATCCGATTCTTTGCCTACTTGTTTCAAGATATTATAACATCTTCGGACAAGATGCGCTAAATCACAGAACCGGCCATCTTCTCCTTCTTTTAGGTTCCTGAACTTAGAAATGTCCTGCGTCACAGCATCTGATATCACTCTAGGATCCCCATAGTACATATCAAGATATTCCCAGCAAGCGGTGTAGTCCGTTCCTATTCCCTTAAGCAGTTCCAACGGTCTGCCTGCCAGTCTCGTCCTCAGGATGGAAACAGCATCTCGTTGCTCATACAGTGGGTCTATCATGTGTTTGAAATCCTCACGGAAAGTCCAATACTCTCTGACATCTCCATTAAATACTGGCAGCTTTGGTTTCTCAACCCTGGGTTTCAACCTCATCTGAACAGTTGGCTGACTTGGTTCAACGGTTTCATTAAAATCACTCACTGGATTTGATATTATTGGAGAAGGCAAGTTGATTGAAGCAGGTGAGGATGGATTTGACTGTCCCGGTGTCTGTTCTGTATTGTGACTTGCAGGATTTCCCCTCAGAGCAGCCTTGTACTTAGCCTTAGTTGCCAAATACTCATCCATGCATGACTGAAAGTATTCTTCTTCCTTGTCATAGTCATCTGGATCCTGAATCATTTCACAGTATTCATCGTGCCTGTCTTGTAATCCATTAAACGCCAATTCCAATTTCCCAGTTCTGATCTCTTCAAAAGGTTCATCATCGTCGATTAGGCTTTCAGTGCCCGTTTCTGTCTGTTAAATCTAGCCTTGCTTGTTCGTCGCTTCAGTTTCTTTTCATCCATCACTACTCCTCAGTTGATTACGTAGTAAATTGAATTGTGGCGAGGCAGACAGAGAGAAAATTATACAATCACAACCTGTCTTAATGTATGAGAGTTTTAATAAACACCATTCAATTCTGTGAAGAATGAATAACAGCATTGTGAATACAGTAAATAATTAAATATAACAAATCCGTATACTCTCGTTTAAAAAAATAGAAAACAAAAAATATAAAATAATAAAGCATATAGCAATGATAATGCATCTTTAACCCATTACATAAACTTAGTAAAAAACAGTCAAGGCATGTACATAAACTTACTACTTTGACCGGGTGTAAATTTAACAAACAAGTCTCTGGATAGCATCATAAGCAGTGGATGGTAAATCCTAAAAATATGAGTAATTATGTTTAAAATACATGTACAGTACAATGATAAACTTAGTACATATTATACCTAATAGACATAAGCATACATTCATAAAACATGATTAATAGCCTAACAGAAACAAAGGCAATGCACATAAACAGTTCTTATCATATCAGACAACTTCCTGTAGTCTTGCATGCAACAATAGAAGTCATGAATATTCATAGCATTCAGAGAACAATGGCTAGGTAAGGTGATTTAGCAAATGGTCTTTACTGGCAAATTCTAAGTTAAATACTCAACGTAAATCAACGTATTATCATAATAAAAACCCAGTATTACTTAACTCATAGAAGCTACATACATAACATAATATTTTATAAACATAATATACTCAATTATCATAGGCTAATGAAATACAAGCAGATCAGCTACTGATACTACCAACTAGGCTCAAACAAAGCCTCTGTGGCCGTTACATAACATATCCTCAGCTCTATAATGTGTTCAACAAATCATCATTAATTACATTAAAATTATAAATCTATTATCGAAATTAATAACAGTATTAAAATCTTGAACACTTACCCTAAACATCACAATATACCACATATATTGACAGTATATAAAAACAGGTATTTTACTGTAATAACAGTCAGTAAAAACATCAGAGTGCCAGCTCGTTTCTTGCCATGTGGATCTACGACGCTTGTAAAAGTGCGCCTTCAATAATACTCATAATAAATCTAGTTTCGGTCGAAACAGCATTATTTAATGGATGCTTCAGCTAATCAACAAATGTATTATTCAATGGATGCTCTAGATAACCAAAAATTGCATTATTCAAGGGATACTTCAGATAACCAATAACTGTATTATTCAAATAATAAATTGATCAGTTAATACATCAACAGAATACGGCAACAATCATATATTTATTATTCATATTTTATTATCAACATAATAACACATTATTTATATTCAGTTTCTATACAGGTTTCAGTTCATCACCATGTCTAAATTATGTATGCATAAACTGCAAGTGATTGTCCAACAGACCAGTGACACAAGGTGAGTACTACACCACCATGCAGCATATGCAACATCAAACAGACTGTGTACTAACCATCAACTGTATTATTCATTGGGTGTTTCAGCGAAAAAAAAATGTATTATTTAATGGGTACACAACCAACCAACCAACTAACTAACTACATACTTTTCAATGAATCTTAGAAATAACCAAGAACTTCATAATTCAATGGAAGTTTTAGCTAAACATCAACTGCATTATTTAATGAAAACTTCAGCCAACAAACAAACCAACAACTGGATTATTCACTCTATATTTTTAGCTAATAATTCAGAAACTGAATTTAACAGTTAATCTATTAACTACTGAACTTCTGAATTAATTTACTGCATTCATCAAATAATAAATTGAGCAGTTAATACTTCATCAGAATACAGTAACAATTATATATTTTCTAAATAATTATGACACATTATTTATATTCAGGTTGCAGTTCATCACCATGCCTAAATTGTGTACAATACATGAACTACAAGTGATTGTCCAAACAAACCAGTGACACACTAGGTAAGTATACTGCTTTACTATCGTCACCTTCACATGGTAACATCAAAACCACCCACATGTTGCATCAAACAAGTACTGTACTAACCATCAAATACATTATGCAATGGATACTTCAGATAGCTAACAACTACATTATTCAGCGGATACTTCAGGTAACCTAATCAACCATTAATCAACAGTTGCATTAATTAATGATTGCATAAAACTGCATACTGATAGTATCAAAAACAGCCTAAACCAACAATTACATTAGTTAAAGATTTTCATAAAACTGCTTACTGAATTCTTAAAAAAAAAACAGCCAAAACCAACAATTACATTCATTAATGACTGCATAAAACTGCTTACTGCATTAATTAAAACAGCCTAAAAAAACTATTACATTACATGCAAAAACTACAAAATGTATTAATCAAAAATAGGCTAAACCAAGAACTACATTAACTAATGATTGCATAAAAGTCCTTACTTTTATTCAACAAAAATATCCAATACCAACAATCATATTAATTAATGATTACGTAACGCCGGAACCATTTTTCTTGCCTACAGTTCGGAATACTAATTATCGTTTTCTGTTGATGTCTACGCTAAATTCAATGTACTTTACATGTAAGAAATTAATGTATGCTGGCTTCATAAAAAGGAAATGATTTATTTACGAATTATAGTGATGAAATATTGAACGAGAATTTACCCAACTAACCCGTAACTTAACCCTAACGTTCCCTAGCTTTTCCCCGAATTTAATTTAAAAAAAAATACTAACAGGAACATGCTAATTTTGACTTTCTGCTGATGTCTAAACTAACACAAATTTGCTTTTTTATGTCCATAAATGAATAGAGTTTCGCATCTTTAAAAGTAAAAAGTATATTTTGAGGTAATTGGTTGAAATTTTGTGATTAAAAATTTCATTTTAGGTGTAATCAATTACAACAGTCCCTTAACAGACACTCCCTTAGCCCTCTGCTGCTCCATCTACGTGTACATGACCGCGT